CGCGAAATCTACCGCGGCGCGCCCGCCGGCAGCTCAACCTCCTTCAACGACGGCACAGAACTCGCCAAGCTGGACAGCGTGCGCGTCGTCTCCATCTTTGGCCGCGGCGCCGCGCGGGTCGACGCGCTCGGCGTCAAGATGGACGGGGGCCCCGACGGGGCGCAGGAGCACGGCGGTAGCGGCGGGAATTTCAAGGAGCTGACGCTGGAGGAGGGGGAGTACTGGATCATGACGGAGGTGTGCAACGGCCGGAAGAAGAAGAAGAAGGACCGCGTTGGGTTCTTTCGGGCTTCGACTAGTCTGGGCCGGGTTCTGGAGGTTGGGTCGAGGACGAATGATCGGTGTGTTACGTTTGTGCCGGGTGAGGGCCGCTCGTTTGTGGGTATGCATGGAGAGTCTGGGGAAGAGGTGGACTCTGTTGGCTTTATTGAGTATCCTAAACTAGACTAGACAATAACGGTGGACTGAATCATCCGGAAGGAGAATGGTCATTGTGGAAGGACACCATGGCACGCGAGAGTCGGTGAAGCACTCTGAACGAATAACAGAACGAGTCTTCCCGGCAGAGATTCTACCGTATCATGAATATTGTGCCACCTATTTAAGGACGAGAAGTCGGGTATGAGAGAGTTCCTGTATAGCACAGCGTGGTTCTGGTGTAATACTGATTGACTTTCTGGGCCGCGCCAAAGATGATACGAGCCTCTTGATCAAATATACTCGCACCCTCTTTAAGCGAATTGGAAAAGTAAATCTCGTGTTCGCATCATCTATAGCGATATGTGCATACTGTTAGTTGTAGAGAGAGAGAGACAAGACTGAATAGGCTCGGAGACTCGCAGTTAGAAACATGTCCCTCTTCTCATTTCTTTACGAACAGGCCGCGAAGACCATATCGTCAATTCGTCCCATCTATAAGCACCGTCTATACATAGCATTCTTCTTCACCACCTTCTAAGCTCCATACTAGACTGCGACTTCCGTCTTCCCAAATCTATGCCATTGCAAGACGCCCAAATCCAACACCGAAGGGCTGCGCGCCATATCAACGCTTACATGCATCGGCACTCCCCTGCTTGTTGTCGCAAGAGAGCATATTACAGATAAACGTTGAACTCCCAAGACTGTGACAGTAATGGTAGATCAACTGTCGTTTTCCAGGGCAATTCTTATTGAACTTTCATCCACGCCAGGCTTGGATGTGTCATCGAGTAAAGAATAGACTGTCTTCTGCAAAAAGGCCTTAGTGGACATTTCAGCAGTCATGCTCCTCTTACATCTCTCGAACCTGATGAGACCGGCAAGGAAGCTGAAGACACATCCTAACTTCAGCGCAAGGCAATGGCGGCCTTAGAAAACCCGCTGGTGCTGCTTAGAAGAAAGCCCAATATCGTCTGTGCGTACCATATCAGGTATTCAAAGCTGGAAATTGGGCAGTCTGCCAATGTCTCCCGCAAGGTTGAGTTCCCACTCTAGGTGAACAATGCATTGATCGGGTGAAAGACAGAGATGAAATACTGAAGCTGGGCTGCATTGCAACACCTCGATCTTTTGACTCCAGGTTTATATTATCAACTTACTAATATCAAAACCTTCTCATCACTTTACTTATATACGTAACAGTATACACAGAAAGCACTCAGGAAGCATGGTACCTAAGGGTCCGCAGCGCTCCTCTTCAGTATCTCTTCCGGCCCAGGCCACTTATACTCCAGAGGTTATGGAGGTCGACAAGGTCACTATTTCCGCAGCTCCTGAGCCACAGGTGCTAAAAAAGCCCATAAGAATCAAGTTCGTCAAGAAGGCCGCGAATCCTCTGATGACCCCGGTTCGGCCGAAGGAAAGACGGCAGCGATAGGCCCTGATGCTTCTCCCAGATCCGATGCAGACAGTCCTGACGCCTTGGTTGTCCAGGCCCCTGACAACTGGAAGTCTACCGCAAAGGCGGTCTGAAAGCCCAGTGGGAGGCACGCTCTTGGGCCATGACTCCTCACGTCCATGACCGACTTTCTCTGCAGCGAAGAAGGCCATGATCAGCCAGCCACCATGTGTGATCGCTCTGAAACAATATCCAGTCAGCTTAGTCTGACGAAAGCTCGATGTACTTATACCAGTTGAGAGACTAGGTAATCGACTGCTATACGTGAATGACGATGTGGTCTCCTAGACTACGAGGACGACGAAGGGGGATATCGCATGGGCATGCAAGAGGGCAGACACTAAGGCGTCGGACCAGGCTCGTTAGTTCCAGACGAGCACTTCAATCCTGTCAGCGCGCTTCTAGCCATTTTCGAGACGCCATTGACAGACCTTTCGGTAGTGAATGTGGACAAGAATCAATTAGTGTCCCGACACGATGCTAATACGATTACATTGCTAAACCCTTCAACCCCTCTCCCAAACGCAGCCCGCATGCATTTTCATCAACAGCCAATCCCGGTCCCAAAGAGCACTAGAACGAACTCCCGCAGAACCCATGCATCTGTTTTTTGTGTGCCTGCTCATAAAGCTGTACGGCATATTGTGTTCTGCTTCGTTCCCATTCTGACCTCCTGCATCCATTCCCCTCGAGGAAGACAGCGAGGCGAGGTGCGGCGACGCAGGGGCGAACAATCATCCCTCATAATCATGACGCCTTGCCAGCAGTCTTCTCCTGCAACTTCTTGGGGTCGATGTGCTCGTCGCGATCCGCCTTGATGGCCTCCTCGCTGTCGGAGGCGAGCTCGGGCTTCCAGTGGCCCTTGCCCTGCTTCTGCTTGGAGAGAGAGTCCTGCTTGTGCTTCTCATGCGTCTCGCTGTCGGTGTCTTTGAATGGGGAAGTGTCAGCTGACATCTCTCCCTAGCAACAGAATGGGAAGAGTTCGTTCATGGGTAGGAGGGGTGAATGGTTGGCAATGAAGGCGTCATCGAAGCTTGTGACTTCACTCCAGGCTCAATTGCCATGCATCCTTCTGCCGGGGAAAGAGGAAAGAAGGTAGAAAAGAGAATAAGCGATAGACTCACGTCCAGAAGACTCCTTCAGACCCTGCGTTCTCGTCGTGGAGATGCTGAAGCCCCGACCGAGGGGAGCGGTCTGTCTACCGACGACGAAAGCGCCGCGGGCAATAGGACGGGCTGACAGAGCGATGCGGGATGCCATTGTTGCGTAGGTATTTGGTTTTTGGATCTGTGGTAGAGGAAGGGGAGGAGTATCACGGTGTAGGTTTTGATTATCGTGTTGTGTTTGCAGGCAGGTTCAATTGAACGGAAGAGAATCAAGATTGAATGAGGTATTAAAGGGGGGGGAAGGGTCAAACGATCACGACAACTCGGCAAAAGAGCTCAAGAAGTAGAGCAATAGCAATAACCTAGGTTAAGCTACTAGCTAGACGAGAAAGCAGCCGCCAGAAGCATGCGGCGCGCCGCTTCGTTGACCCGGCCGTGACGTCACTATTCATTGCTCTCTCTCCCTCTCGATTAGTTACATAGTGACATCTCCTCAGGACCGAGCTTTTTCCTTCTCCAGCTGGTTGCAGCAGCGCAGCTACCCGAGTGGCTGGAAGCATCGCCATGTCCCCGCAAATTGCCCTTTTAGAACGGGAAGGAGATTGTTGCAGAAGACGAGGGCGGGGGCATTGACCAACTGCCTGTCGACCATTTGCAAGCCCACAGTCACATCATCCAACGAAGGGGCCATCCATCCATCGCCGCTCAGAGAGACCTTCATACGCATCGTCATCGTCCTGGATTTTCTCGCCAGACCATGCTCAAATCTGGACCATGAATTCTCTCTCATCAGCCTCATCACCACCTGTGTCCAGGCCTCTGAGCCCAATCCCCCGTTGACCCCTGGCATAGACCCCCACCACGGAACCATACCCAGGACGTTCTTTCACTCTGGCAGTCCACGCTTCGTGCTTTGCTGCCCAGCTGCCTCGTCATCATTGGCTTCCCCACCTCTCTCATCAAGACCAAGTCCAACACGTGACCGTGACCTCCCCCCCCCCCCCTTCTCACTCTCCAAGCCATGATGATGCTCGTCGTATCCGTCCACGCCATAGTAAATTCGCCGGGAGGAAGAGGAATAGTAATAGTGGTTACAGTAATCTTCAAAAATTGATCAGGAAGCATCGAGCCGTAGGATACCTCACCTTCATCGCCCACCTGCAGCACTCCATCCCCGCCAAACACCCCCTCCCTCCCCTCGCGGCACCATGCAGAAACTCAGGCGGCGGGTAAGCAAGGCACCTCAGATCCCTCAGGTCCCCTTCAGGCCCAGAATGAAGCCGGGCCACGACCCAGGCACCAGGCACGCCGCACACCAGACCTCCCCTTCAACGCCCCCAACACAAAACGCCAGAAACTAGAAAGTGAAATCCACCCGTCTCCCTTTTCCGAACCGCCCTCCATAGCGATACCAGCGCCTACAGAATCATCGCTCGTACACAGGGAAAAACGCAACCAAAAATCCTCCATGCTAAACTCTACTGCACAAAAAGCCCGACCTTCAACTCCTCTTTTCTCCCTCGCAGCCCGAGCTCAGCTTAGCTCAGATTCATTACCCTTCTTCCCCCCCTCCGTCGTCTCCTCGGCGAACAAAGGGGGTTTCGAGGCAGGTGTGGGCCGGGGATCTATGTCTAATTTACTGACCCCCATCTCACGCAGCTCGATAGCAGCCGTCTTACAGTATCCTGCAATATATCAGCAATGTCACGGTTTAAGAAGGGGTAAGATGCAGTAAGCGTGAGGACGGCATGTAGTCATCTCTTTATTCTAACAGTCGTGAGATATATCTGGTGCCAATGGGCAAGAGGTCAAATCCGGCTAGCAATATTTGGTCCTTCACCGAACGTCTACCTGATATTGTCACCATGATTTGGAACCTATCAGTAGCTGGTCGCTTGCAATGATGGTTGGTTGGCAGTCACTGAACGACACTCATGATGAACGGCTTTTGATGAACATATCGTATATTGCATTGCGCCTTGCTGGCTTCGCGCCACAAGATCAGACAGCTTGGTCTAATCCCATTCAACACCATTCGCATCTTGAGCGTTTCCTGTACAACCCCAAAAGGTATCCCGTTCTCCGACCCAGAAACCACAAGAGCCATTTATCGTCTCAAAACCGCTACCCAAGAAACACACAACTCTTCCGAGATGCTCGCGAAAGTGCCCAGACAAGGTATGACTCCACCACCACCAACCGTTTCCAGTGTCGCGAGGTGCTAGACCTGCACCGCCGGAACATCGACCAATAGTAGTAAGAATAGTCCATCCTCGAATAATGAAATGAGAGAAGAGGCGCAAGAAAGCAATAAAGGACTGCGCGATCCCCGTCCACATCGCTCGACCAAACAAGGTAACAATGCAGAGGTTCGCCAGCAGGCCGCACCCAAAATTCATGACCAACTCCACCTTTCCCAAAAAGGTATTTCCCGGTACCGTTTCCAAGCTTTGGAGATTTGCCGCAAAACAATAGCAACGCATGTCTTTGCCCGCCACCACCCATTTGATATTTCCCATGTGAGCCCATAACAGAAACACCTGTTGCCCCCCCGCTCCGAATAAGTTGCTGAAAAGACACTCATTCTATATGTCGAGATAATCTTTTCCGGAATGACTTCGTGACCCGTCGAGCACCATGATGAGCAACAGAAATTTTGAATCATCTTGGAAAACAAAAAAGTCGTCCCGCTGTCCGTGAAAAAAGATGCCGAGAATTAATTATATCCGAGAACTCCGCCGTGGTGTGATTTCACACCGATGCATGTCGTGAAAATGCAAAACCATCCGTGTGGAAAACGCCATTCGTGCAAGTCCAACCTCATCTTGCGAGGCAAGGACACCGAAAGATTTTTGTCGAGTTTTTTTGTAGTCGAAAATACCCAAAAAAGGAAAAATGGTATCGATAACTTCTCATTCCGCGCCGTTGGAAAAAAAGCCTCGAAGGGGGGTTTGGCGGTTAAACAGGGTATGTCGTTGAGGTTGTTTGTACAGGAGAGGAATGTCGTTTGAGCCAACAGATGACCAGACCACGCCGGCAGTCTAGCCAATACCTTGAGGTACCCAGCCCACAAGAGAGAAAATCATCGATGCCATTGCCATTTTTCGTCTTCTTTTTTTTCGGTGCCCGCCAAGATGGCCGGTGTAAACAAGCCGAATGAGCAGAAATTTTACACATCAGCATGCATCGGCACAAAAGGCAAGGAGTACACCAAGCCCTCTGTCACGAGAGCGGGATGAACTCCTTACCATCTGCGACCCATGCCCTGCTGCATCCGGGCGGGGGAAACCGAAGGCGGCGGGCTCGACATGGTGATGCCGGTGGCAGGGTTGACGATGGGAATGGCATTGCGGGCGCGAGTAGCCGCAGGCTGATGGAGCTTCAGGCTAGACTGCTGGTACGCGGGAGGGATGAAGGCGGGAGAAGAAGAATTCAGCGAGAACCCAGGGGCGACGGTCTGGGGTTGCTGCGTCGGCGAGGACTCAGGAGAGTTGCTGGCCAGAGACGAACGCTCAGAAGAGCTATGGATGGAGTTCATCTGCAGCGGGCGACCAATATTAGTCACCGGATCATGAGAGACAGATCCAAGGCTCCGAGATACTTACGTCGCTGTCGGTCAACAGGCCAGGGCAGAATTCCATGTCGTCTTCGAGGTCGAAAGAGCGGCCGGCCTCAAACTTTGTGCGGAAAGCGTTGAGGGTAGCAGACTCGGTCAACTCCTTCATGCTTCGCACGCCACGGAACTGCTTGTGCTGGTTCTGGGAGACGGAAAGACGGGGCGCTCTGCGATTGCGGCCGCCATGGTGGTTGTGGGAGGCACCGGGGACGGCGGGGGTGGGATGCGCCTGGTGGTGGTTAAACTGGTAGTATGAAGACATTATCTATGAATGTTTCGGAGGTAGATGCCGTGGTGATGTCGTGGTGGAAGGTCGGAGAAGGGGTGCCGTTTTTTGTTGGTTGGGAGGCAGTGTGGCGGATGTGCGGGTGGTCTTATGTGGGCGAGCCGAGCTGTGCGGTATTATTGCAGTTTGAAACACAAACAATGAAACCTGCCGAGTCGACGTTGTGCGAGTGGTAAAAATGTGTACGATGAATAGGTTCAAGGTAGAAGAGGTCGTTGGAAGAAAGCAGTGCTTTTTCTTTTAGGTCGTTTGGTATGTATGATCGTTTGTGGAAGCGTTTTTGTGGTTTAGAGGTTTGATGATGTGGTGGGAGAAAAAAGGTACGTCTGGAAAGAGGGGGGAGAGAGATGTTGAAAAGTATCGGGAGGGAAGAATCCGGAGAAAGCGATGGTTTTGTTGGTTCGAGCAAGACGGTGGGAAGGGTGGGAGGACGGTGGAAAGGTGAGCGGGCAGGCGAGAGGAGCGACGAGGGCACGGAGGGCAAGGAGAGGACACTGGGAGGGAAGGGGGGGCGGCGGTGGACCCACAGCCTGCCCAATGGGAGATGATCAGAAGACAGTGTAGCTGTGGTCAACACTGTGACTCCACTCCTTGACGCCATATGCGAGTTCGCCACCCTGTTTCCATTGGCTGGCAGATCTCAAACTATAGCGACCAGGGACTAGCGCGGCCTAGTGGGCTGGTGTAAATTTGGGGCGTGGCGCCGGCTGCCGTCAACCCTACCAGTGCGGCGGACAGTACATTGTCGGGGTGGGGCATGGGCTGGCCGTATTTGGATGGGGGAGACGATGAATGAGTGAGTGAGCGAGCGAGCGATGGAGTGAGTGAATGAGACTGGGGTACACACACCGCATTCACACGGTACACCAGGGTTGGATGTTGAACTGAACGGTAAGGTGACTGCGCAGCGGGCGGGAAGGCAAGGCAAGATGTGGAAAGCGAAGAGTTACGTGTGCCCGGCAAGCCTAGGTGAACCTGGTCAGAGGGTTCGACAGTGAATGCGATGCGCTGGGGTCTGTATGGCTGGCGGGATCACTGAGAGTGTGGCCCTCCCACGCTCTCTCTCTCATCTTCACTTTCATTTTCACTTTTGGTCTCATTCTCACTCTCACTCCAAAGTTCAATACCCATCTCAGTCTGGCACACACTCACACATCTCACCGTCAGTCTCGGCAGACGGTAAACCTGCATCCCTTCTCCCCTTCCTCTTCCCATCCCCCACCTGTCTTGGGCATTCCACGTCGGAACATGGACGCAGGGCAAGTTGATGCGTGGCATGCAGGTACCGAGTCTGCCTTTTGCAGGACGCACTGTGGGCCTTGTTTTTCTTCAATCACAGCCCTTTCACAGTGCTGACAGCCGCGAAGGAAACTCCTTCCCCAAAAAAAAGCCTCCTGAGTCGGAGAATCGCCGGCGCCAGTCGCTTGTTCTTGTTCTTGTTTACAATTCTGGTACCGCTTGCGGCCATGCGAGAGATTGGCTGCCCACACCTGTCATTCCAGAACCCCAGTGTGCGCGGTGATTGATGGGGAATCAACCAGGAGCACATTCAATATTGCTGCGGTACGAGAGATCAGAGCGAGATTAGAGATGAGACATGATACGGACGGTGGATGAGGATTGCGGAGGGCACAGCACTCCTCCCTCCCTCCCATCTTGCACCGTCTATACATCCACCCAGTGCCACCATCCACCGTCTCCCCTTCTCTCCCTGCCACTGCAGGTAGTCTGTCAGTCTGTCACTGTCGAATCCTCGAGTAGCCAGTAGTGTCGCCTTGATGTCTCTCCTCACTCTATGCCAGGGCTGTGTCGAGATGTCTCTCCTTTGTGATCAAGTGACCACTCTCGTCCACCTCTCCTCTTGCGGTCTTGAGGCTTGTCTTGCCTAGGGGACTCTCGGTCCTGGCCGTGGTCCGACCAACGGCGTGTGTCTTGCTCTCGTCCAGTCTTCGCCCGTACGCTTCGGTGTCCCTCTTCTTCTTCTCCTTCTTCCTCATCCCTCCTATTATCCGCAAAGCCTTACGCACTTCAGCACTCTCCGACCTCGTCCGGAATTCTAGGCGACGCTAAAGAACCCTCCGTGGCGGATGGCATTGTTTGTTATCGTTGTCTTCGAGGCAGTCCCGCCCAAAGTTCGGCAAACTTGTCAGTATGCTTTGCGCTGACGCGGTGCAATGTCTGACGATAGAGAGACCTTTGGGATGCACGCACGATGGCATCGTCTTTTTCGGTGGTTGCTTATGATCCATCGCATGCTCTACTGCTACCACAGGGGCATTAAACTGGCGCAGTCTGATGTTCAGAAACACGAGAAACGCAGCCTAGTGTTTCCCATTTCTTACGCTGCAATAAACACCGTACGGAGATTCCAACGGGAGGAGTCTGCTTCCCAGGTTCCTCATACTCGGCTGGCTTCATGTCGTCCGCCCACCCACAGTGTGTATTCCGATCAGAGCATCAAAAGGTCGACTGTCGATTGCGCCGCCTATCTGCTTCAGTCCAAAGTGAAACCCTCCCGACCCTCTCTGCTGGGTGGCCCTTGTCCGGCCGAATCCCAACCTTTGGGGGAGAGCCAGCCCTCAGAGGCTCAGCCAACCGAAGATGGGGGAAGAGGAGAGGAAGACATTAGAACGGACGGGACTGCGTGATGCATTGTGTGCACTGGGCAGTGGGCAGACTGAACGGTAGAGGACGAGCTGCAGCTGGAACAGTGCAACGCACCACCCGCCCACTCTCTCTTTTTCTCTTTCCCCATCTCCTTCGCTTCTTCCCACCTCACACACCAACCAAGGTCGGTCCACGGTACCACCAGCGGTCTGGAGTCAGCACATCTGCACGGCGGCAGCAAGACAAATGGATTATCGAGGCTTCGGTCGAGCATCTAGTGGAGGGTCAAACATCCAGCTGCGGATACGTACCTTCCAGCGTGGGATTACCAGCCACGGACGACCCAAACGAGTCGCCGGCTGCTCACACTGTGATGTGGCAGAGTGCCAGAGACATTGCCCAAGGCCCCAAAGATCCTCCACTCTCATTGGGTACATACACATGGGAGGTGCTGTTGCACACTGCTGCAGGAGGTTAGAGCCCCGGGATGCATGACGGACAACGAGGCAGTGGCCCTCTGCTCTCCTGCTGCTGTAGAGAAGGCAAGGTACCTACGTGTTGGTTCCTGCCCTGCTTCGTGTGTAGGTACCTAACCTTTCATGCGAAAACAGAGACAGAGAGAGAGAGAGAGAGAGAGAGACACACACACACACAACACACACACGCACCCGTGGACGCACACACAGGGCTGTGAACCAGTGACATGCAGACACTGGGTGGATCTTGGTGCCGCTATGACTGCTCGCTAGACCCCTGGTCTGGTGCAAAAGAAAAACAATAACCGAGAAATGACCATGGGCCCTTGACCTTCTGGCCTGGATTCGGAAACGTGGCGGCTGGCACGCTCGGAGGCGAATCAAGCGACAGACCGCACCCCGAATGTCACTTTTGTGGACCTGACAAATTAGGCACCAAGTCATGTAGTCCACAGTGTGCGACTGCCACTTCCGCAGGCTGCAGCCCACCTGCCGTGGAAGCTACCACGCTTCTCACCTTCCATCTCTCACACAGGGCACACCGCAACTGCCCACCTCACACACCAGAGCAGGGAAGGCAGCATCTTGGGTACGTACTTGGGCAGTCAGCACCTTCAAGGTTCTCTTTGCCTTCCATCTTGATGACCAACTTTTCCATAAGGCGAACAGTCCCTTCCCCATCACTAACAGCGGGGCAACCGTTTGCCAGTCCGTAACTGACCGATCTCACCGTCACACTCGCAGTCACTCACTCACTCATTCACTCGCCCCTCACAACCTGCTCTTGCTCTCTCTCACCTCACTTAGTCCCGGCGCAGACGTTTACGCAGATCTCAGCAGAGGTCTCTCGCCCCATATCGTCACTCGTCACTCTCTGCCCCTCCCCCTCCTTCACCCCAGCATCATCCGTCAGTGGCCAAACCATGAACAGGCCATGATGGAAGCCCCAGACCTGTTTATCGATCCATGCCTCTTCTCTTTCCATTCTAGCACGTCTCGACTCTTGGCTTCAGTCATTCAGCAACTCCCCGGTGCCGTGCATGCGTACGGATGCTCCGTACGGATATCCTGCTCATGATCCGTCAGATCTTGCGACTGCCGGCCGATGGACTGCTGCTGCTGCGGAGGCGCCAGATCAAGATTAAGGTAAGCTTCGACATGCCATACGTATGGGAGCAACTCTATCGCCATCGATAATAGCTTCCAGCTGCGGCGGTGGGCGCCAAACGCCTTCTAGACCAACTCTCGACTGGGACCATACGTTCTACACCTTCTATCCGTACGGCGAAAGCGTGGGATTTGCTGTGGTACCCGACCTTGCACCAGCACTGCATGAAGTGGACGGGCCTCCTGCGAGACCACGCCAGCAGCGCCCCTGGGCCAGACCCTGGAACAAATGTGTCTCTCAAGTCCCTGGTCTCTGGCTCTCTGCTCCCCGGTTGTGGCACAGTACAGCTCCCTTGTCCACCCGCCGATGGCTGTGAAGACAGAAGGCAGAAGCGCTGAAGGCTGAAGCCGGCATTGACAAGTCGCCCCTGCTGCGGAGGCCAATCTGCCAGTCCAGTGGAGGTGAATCGGGGCAGGGCACGGCTGGGGCCCCTAGGGGTCTTGGGAGAGGGGCCTATAGGAGATGGGAAACCATCTTGAGACACCTGACGATGGCTTCGTGATCTCTACAGTGGAGCTCATAGGGGAATCCGAGTGACGAAAGGGGGCAGAATCGCATTCCCCTCGCCTTGTCACCCCACGTCCCAGTCCGTCACCTCGACAGTCAGCCCGGTCAACCAGTCAGTCACCCAGTCATCCGATCAACCGTCATCCCGTCCGCTCGCTCTCTTGCCTTTGGCAGCGCCACGACAGTCACAGCACCGGTACGGATACATGGCCAGGGCTCATCTCAACAATGTAACGGGCATTTGTTCCGTTTGCCTACCGTTTCCATGCCAGCCAATCGTGCCGGTCACCTAATGTCCCGCGCAATGGAACTGAGGACTGCTATTTTGGTCGCCCAGTCGGCTCTCTACGCTACGGATACTGGTTGGATGCTTGCACGCTGTGCAGAGAGGCCAGAGCCGGACGGTCCTGGGCTCAGGGTTCCTGGATTCGCCCGTGCCTGGGAAGGCCGAGGACCCTTTCAGCAGACTGCAGCAGACGTAGGAGCGGCATCCCCTCCTTTATCCAGGACTGGTTCCATATCGGGACAGAATTGACACTCAACCTCGATGTCCTTCTGCCGGGCTCTTGTTTTTCTTCCGAACGAGCTCACAGCACAATGCCTGCAGCAACGTAAGCCAACATTCGCCAGGTTGCCAGGGTCTACTATGTACATAGTGTAGACAACAAGTAAAGAAAAGCAACATGGTGGTGTGGGGACTCTGCCATTGAGTTCGACCTTCGCTGTCACACAGTTCCTGTTGACCCATCCAATCCACGCTCGATGCTCTACACCTACCAACGCCGAAGCTCCTCTGGAAGGAAGGATTCGATGGCCGGTTGGACAACCTTCTTCTGTTGCTCTTGGTCTCCAGCCTCTGGACCAACCTTCCAGCCTCACCAGCTGTGCCATCACCAATCAGTCCCCCGCTGACTTCCAAACCCTACCATAACAACGCCCGCGTGAAACCAAAAGTGTGCGATGTGCATGGCGGCGGACGGCATGTTTGCGCCCATGTGAGGCAGCTGACGGAGGATCGGTGTTGTTCCTTTGAGTTGACAACTTACGTTGGTCGGCTCACCCCACGAGATCTTGCGGATTTGCTCTCTCGGTGAATAGGATCTAGCAGCCATGGGAAAGGCAAGGGAGGACACACGGACGGTAGACCAACAACAAGGTTGAGGGGGGCATGGGAAGACATGGAAAAGCCCCTTCTTCACTGCCACACCGCCATTTTGGCATTCAAGGTTGGGCCAGACTCGATCCAGATAGCGGATTGTGTGCATCGCTTGCTGCGGCGGCGGATTATTCCTCTCGCCTGTCTCACCACCTCACCTCGTTCCCCGGGTTCTACGCCAACCGTCTCAGTGGGGGGACGCTCCGACCACCTTGCCGCCACTCTCTCACCGTTCCCATCTTCCCCTCCCCCTCCTTTGTCCTTTGGGGGGTTGGAGAAGTACGAAGACGATAGCTGGGAGCTGAAGCTCACCTTGGGTTGGCGAGGCAAACACGGCTAGCTACCAGCTGAGCCACCTCGATGGACACCATTATCTACGGATACACTATCGACCTGGCTTGCAACACATAGGGCTTCCTGCATCGACGGTAGAGCATCGAAAAAGCAAAAACAGAGGAGTAGGAATGCGAACGGTTCGGCGTCGCCAGCGACAGGGCCGGGACAGCAGTCGATGAGCTAAATCGACGCATCTGGCATGCCGGCGGCACTCAACTGGTGGTGCATGGCATGGCAGCCATGCCATACCATGCCATGCCACCTCCAGCACAGCGGTGCCAATAGTGGTGGGGCAATCTGCCAAACGGCACAGTGCTTGCTTGGCGGTCTGCTGGTTCAGGGCTATCAGCAGGTATGGACGGCAGCGTGAGGTGACTGACTGGCTGGCCTGCTTGCTTGCTTGCTTTGGTCGAGGATGGGCTTTGCTGGCGAGCGAACCCCGCTCCGCTTCCATCCGATGCATCTCCGGCGCGGATGCAACAAGACGCAGCATCTCGCGGCGGTGTCTTGGACTCAAGTGGTTCGCCGTCGGGACTAGACAACATGCTGCCGCTGTAGGGCAGAGAAAGAAGTCTTCATTCTTTCCGCTATATGCGCTGTTCTTCACCCCACCCAGTCACCTTACCCGGCAGACGTCGAGGGTAAAGACAGGGTCTCCGGGTCCCGAGTGAATGGCATTGTTCAGATTCCCACTAAACAGAAACAGTCGAGGATCCGCCCCAAGGCCAAGGCTCCATTCTGTACCCATGGGGGATCGAAGGAGAGAGTTGGCTACTCTGCGACGTCACCCCTCTCGGAGGGGCGCGGAACCTGGCGGCGTCGCCGACGATGAGTCTAGGGAATATCCGTATGCGATGCCTCTCTCTTTAGGGAAAAGTATCAAGCTCTCGGCTCGATAAGTTTCAAAAGTCTATCAAGCGACGACGGGAATCCACCAAGGAAACCGAACACTCACGGTACTTGAGCGATTGTCATATCCCTCTCCCCATGCGTTACGTGTGTATCTACCGTACAGTGTTGCCTCCTCTACCCGGTCTCCGTGCGGTGACGGGGCTTCCGTCCCACCCCGGCGCAGCACCCGCAATCCCATACCCGCGGATACAATCCGTCATGTGAAATCTCTCCCGCAACCAAGACCCAACCCTGTTGTACCGCAACCGCAATCCATTCCCGCGTACACCGCAAGCCTCGCAGCCCGCCCGGACGGTCGCACAAACATCCTTACCAGCAAGTGATTGGCCTGAGAGTTCTGAATACCTCTCTTCCCAAAGGACCCCCAGGTGGAGAGAGATACATAATGAGGGACGGGTTGCTGGAGAGGCACCTCCCGCAAATAGGCCTCGGTCTAGGCCTAGGAGCAGCGGCCGCCGCCACCCTCCTCGTCCTCGTATCCCGAACCACCACCACCGCCGCCGCCGCCGCCTCCCCCTCCTACGCATCCGCCCTCCCGGCCCCGCGTCCGGCGAGGGACAGCCGCAAGACGGCCCGCTCGCCGAAGTGGACGACGACGCGGGACCCGGGCTGCGACGAGCGGTTGCCGTACCCGCCCGACGTGTTCCCCGGCGCGCGGGACGTCACGACGGCGTACGGGAACCTGCGGGTGTACGAGTTTGGGCCGGAGGCGGCGGAGGAGAGAGTCCTTTTGCTGCATGGTATCGGGACGCCTTGTCTTGCGTTGGGGGGTATTGCTGGGGAGTTTGTGGAGAGGGGATGGAGGGTTATGACTTTTGGTGAGTCTTTTTTTATGATGGTGATGATGATTGTGAGAGGTGGTATATGTCATTGAGGATGTGTGGTTGTGCTTATGAGCCGTGATATCCGGAATGTGAAGTGAAGAGCATTGTTCAGCGTGTTGTTCAGTATTCGAATGATCTTGGCAGCTTGGGTCTTACTCTCGAAGCAAACCACTCATCGAACACATTACACACCACACATCACACGTTATACAGAACCCCCACCCTCTCGCTCTCTCCCCCTTTCTCACCCCCTTCACGAGCATCCCCTAACTAACACCGCCAGACTTCTTCGGCCGCGGCTACTCCGACGCGCCCCTCGACCTCCCCCACGACGCCCGCCTTTACACCACGCAGATCCTCCTCGCGCTCGCCTCCTCCCCCTCGCCGGGCTGGACCGGCAACGACGCCTTCCACCTGCTGGGGTACTCCCTCGGCGGCGCCGTCGCCGCCGCCTTTTCCTCCACGCACCCGCACCTCGTGCGCTCGCTCAGCCTCGTCGCGCCGGGCGGGCTGGTGCGCAGCGGAGCGCACGTCGGGTGGCGGAGCCGGGTGCTATATAACGCGGGGTGGATTCCGGAGTGGGTGAGGAGGTGGGTTGTTGGGCGGAGGTTGAGGCCTGTTAAGGTGGGGGGCGGGGCGGTCGGTGATGTGCCGGAGAAGGAGACTGTTGATGATGACGAGGCGGAGGAGAAGAAGGAGGAGTGGGATGAGCTCAGGCTCGTGGGCGGAGGACGGATTGGGGAGGTGGTTGGGTGGCAGCTTGCGAGGCACCCTGGGTTCGTGACGAGTTACATGTCGACGATTCGGCACGCGCCGATATATGACCGCGGGGACGAGGAGTGGAGGGTTCTGGCGGAGGTGTTGGAGGCGAGGCGGAGCAGCTGTGGTGATGGTGGTGGTCGAGGATGGTCGTCGGAGCCCGGGCTGAGAAAGGGGCGGGTGCTCTTCCTGCTCGGTGAGGACGATGACATTGTCGTGCTCGGGGAGACGGTGTGGGATGCGGAGAGAGTGCTCGGAGAGGACGCGGTCGAGGTCGTTGTCCTCGGGGGCGGGCACGAGATTGCCATTACCAAGGGGAGGGAGATTGTGGGTGCCGTCGTTGCTGCGTGGGAGAGGAGGGCGTAGGGAGGGCGAGACGTGAGGTGACAGGAGAGTTTTTGTTCTTTCCTGCTGGGGGGTTTTTACTGGACGTTTGTATGATGATGGAGGGAGGGATAGAGTTGTTGGCTTTTGGTGGGTAGAGTCTCAGAGTCATTGGTAGAGCCTCGTATAGATTATATGCTAGAATGGAATGGGGTAAGAGAGTTTAGAATGGGTTGAGAGTCTGAGAGGAGGAGGAGGAGGAGATTGATGGAGCCGTGTCAAGTAGAATTTAGGCGAAAATTCGTTACACGATCTGGGACAGTTCGTTCGCCTGTTGCTTGCTTGGATCTGTTTGCATGTCACGATCCGTTCTATCTCAAGGAGAAAGTGATCACAGAAGACTATTCCCCAGAGAGAAGCATCACAATGAAAAGGCCCGGCGAACCAATTTCTGAAATGGACTTTTGTTACTATGCCTTGTCTTTTACGTTTCCTCCCCCCCCCCCCAGAAAAATCGAGATGCAGACTTCCATCACAACTGTCGTGTCTCCCTCGGTAGAGATATAGCCCCCATCGGAAAGAAGAGGGACCATTTCGAAGGTCGGCAGACCAGTCGCGAAGGGAAAACCCAAACACACATACAAAAGAGATCTAGAAAACTCTAAACTGCCCACGCCAATGTTCCCATATCCCCGTGTTCCCAGTGTCATCATGATATCCCGAATGCCGTGTCCCCAATGTGTCCTCGTGTTCCCAGCGACAGAAAAAGAGAAAAAGACGAGCGAGTGCCTCCCGGCTCAAGTCGGAGAGAGAGCATCCCCAAAACACCCGCCGCGGCTGAGAAACAGCCAATGTCGACTGCTCCAATGCGGCGAAAGAGAGCGAGAGAAGACACACCGAGAGAAGAGAGAGGGAAAGAGAGAGAGGCTTCAACCACGCCTGCCGCCCTTCTTGTTCTTGTTGTTGGGCTTCGGTTTCTCGTGCGTGTCAAGAGCCTGCCTTCATCCTGCTCAGGACGTCCGCTCTGTCCCTCTCGGCCTTGGCCTTCTCCACGGTTGCGCCGGTAGAGTAGTCTGGACCCTCCTGCAAAGGGCCAAAAGCCTCGAGCAGCCATTCCCGAAACTTTCCTTTGCTGGGATCTCCGTCCACGGTCTCCTCGAACCACTCTTGAGGAAACCATCCGGCAAAGTCGTCGAATGGGGCGGCGCTGACGACTTCGTAGGGATGAATCGGGTGCGGGACGAGCTCCAAGCAGTGAATGCCATCGGCGGCATCCTTCACGTATTTGGTCGTTGACCAAAGGCGTGCGCGACTGAGATCGAGGAGAACCGTCCGAGGCTTGTCGAGATCGCGAATTCCGTCTCGCATTGTGATGTAGACATGGCGAGGCTCATAATCGCCATCCATAACCCCCGTGTGCATGTGCCTGACGTTGCCGTCGATGAGCTGCCTGAGAACCTTCATCCGCGTGTCGTGGTTGATGTCCAGAAGCACTGGGCGTCCCGTGTCGGATTGGTGAAATTCCAACGGCAACTCATCGTCCGGGACGAGATTACCGTATTCATCTCGGTTGCAGAGATCCTCAATGGAGTAGCCGTCAACGTACTCCATGAGGATGAGAGCCACGGTTTTGTACTGGACGCGCCGTTCGGGAGTCTCGCCGACGGCGAACCTGACCGCCCAAGTACCGTAGTACTGTGCAGTGAGGTGTGGCGGTCCGGTTAAGTTCTTCCGATAGAGATGCTGGTAAACGTAGCTCTCTCGGCTGAGTGCGCCGTCAGCCAGTTCAATGTTGCTGATCGGCGTGCCGTTGTATTCCGGCCAGAGCTTGTGGTCGAAGACTTTGGCCACTACTTGAGTCTGTGGGACGGGAAGCTCCACGTCGGTGTCGCTGTTCATATACTCGGGCGAGGGCAACGCAATGATCTTGCAACGGAAGACTTGAGGTCCGGGGTTCAGTGAAAGGCGTTCCAGCACCTCAAGTTCGAGATGCTCATCCTTCAGGAAACATCGGTGAGGGTCGAAGTGGCGAAGATCAGGGCCAGGTGGTGGGTTTGGAAGATACTGAGAGGTGCCATGAGGCTGGACTGGTCTGTACTTGGTGAGATTCAGGATGCTGCCTGGGCATTAATGGTCGGAATCGGCATAAACGCGAGACATGTTGCCAATGAAGCCGATGAGAGAGTGGTGTATCAGACTGTTCTTGCGGATGCTATCGGTGACTCTGGCTGCAAACTGAGAATGGAGGAAGGCGGTCAGATTGAGTGGAAATAGAGAAAGCCTTAGGGAATAAGAAGATGAGCAGGTAGTCCAGAAAACTAAGTAGGGTGAGAGTCCCGTCTCCCTTTCTCTTATTTTTCTTGTCCTCTTCCGCCTCCTCCCTGAGAGGTCTAGAGTGGCGGGGAGAATTTGCTTTCCGTTGAAAAGGCGGCAGCAAACGGGTGTGTGACAAATGAGAGTGAGAGTGAGAGTGAAATTGAGGGTGAGAGTGGGGGGATATTGCAAGTCCAAGTGTCTCGGCTTTTCAGGTTGGGGAAGATGTACCTTGCGGGAAGCAACCACAGAGGTTGCACAAGAGACAAGGAAGGTTCCCGTCTCGGAATCAATCAACCAAGGACGAACAAAACTCAACCACACAAAACGCCTCACACAGGCAACGAAGGTGGATTTGCTTCTATCTCTTTCTCCACAGCGGTGATTACTGCAATCTCAAACGGAGGCTCTCCTTTCAAAATGTTGCAAGTAAGCGAGTCGACTTTTCGCTATTGTCGAAGCCAAGAATGTCGGAAAGCTTTATCGCTGGCACAAGTCGTTCATGCGATGGTCCAAGAGTCGAGATACTGGCCCCGAAACTAGAGATGACATGCCAGGAATCCACAATTTCACCATGTTCGACAGTCGCACAAGCGAACCCACGGCGAGGCTCCTGAAGCAGGCTGCAGCTTATGCCCTCATTTTCCGGACAAAGTACGTGATCATGACAACCACGAAGCACTCATATTCCTTATCTTTCGCGACATGGAAGTTACAAGCAATTCGACTCCTGCCGATGTGTGGAGAAAGGGTTTTGGGGAGGCGGTTGAGGTGACGTTCATCAGACCGCACGATGATGAGCCTTTTATAGGTCCACTGGCTGGATTTCTTGCGGAGGCACGAGAAAAGACCCCGCTGGATACTGTTACGGACTGATTTATAAATTGAGGATTGAGAAATGAACTCTATATAACGGGAAAAACAGGATAGATTGCGTTGCTTATGGTTTATACCAGAGGGAAGGATATTTAAGATTCAAAACATAGTTATTTTCGTCATCTTTTCCGGAGTATTCGTCAGTAATACTAACGAGGAAGAAGTGTATGGAAAGATGTGGTCTTTCCCAGGTACCTCAAGGTGAGTGCATTATGATAGCGAGGGAAGGAGGTGTGCGGGAGAAGCACGGCATGAGGTCAAGTGCTGTTAGTATTAAAGGACCCACTCCGCCTGGGCTTACCGGTCCGGCGCCGACCTGGAGATAACGGGTTCCGGCTGGTGTGGGGCCAACCATTCAAGCTAAGGTCGAGTCCCTGTCTTTTTCCAGGTAGAGGTTCTTTACCACGTGCTCAGGTAGCGTCCCTCAGGCACAGAGGCGCTTTGTACGAAGTACCTATGCGGCGGTCAGCAGAATTGGCCGCTCTTCTAACCATTAAGCAAAAGAAAAGTGGCCAACCTATTCTTCTGACCGTGTGGTACCTACCTACCTTACCTACCTTACCCCAGTTGTTCACGGTACCTAAGCCAAGGAACCTGAGGCTGGTTGAGCTCGCGACCAGTCGGCGGAACACGTGGTGCACGACCCTTCGAAGTACCTTAAGGTGCTTCGTAAGGTCCGGAGTACTTCCTTCGTATACAGAGCACACCCCATTCCATCTCTCCAATACCAACCTCCTACTCTTCCTCCAACTTGTCCAACAACCTCCCGGCGAGGTTTCGATGCGACTGCGGGAAAGTCACTCATCTTTGGCCCCCATTTGCCTCGACCCGCTCATTACCCTTCAACTCGAGTGCTAGCTGGACCTCACTTCTGCGGAGCCACGTGGGTTACAGACACGCAGAGCCCGTGTTGCTTGCTTTCTCTCGAGTCTTTACAAGCCTCGCTCGGAGAGAGCAGAGGTCATCCCCACCCCCTGCCGCATTCCACCCATAAGTATGGATGGCTTCCTCAACTTTTTTCCCGAGAAGGCCCATCGGGTCGCCGGCCGCCTGGCTAAAGTCCCTCCTCATCGTTGCTAGTTTCCTCATCTTTGTCCAACTTGCCCTCCCCCATATCATGGCGCCCAAGGCTTCCACTCTGTTGGCCGGCCTTGCTGTCTTCGGCACCGGCACCGGCAGCAGCGCCGGCGGTGTCGTGAATGCAGCTGGTGGTGTTGATCTGAGCTGGTACGCGCCCGCTCGCACAGAGGTCAATAATCTGACCGCCGTGATCAACGGCAAGGGTGTCTGGGGTTTCATTTATGACACCTCGGAGACTCCCGACGACAGGTACGGGCAGTACAACTGGTGCAACATGCCGCATGTGCGCAAGACGGAGTATGTGAAGCCGTCGGATGAGTACGAGCTCAAGTACGTGGAATTAGTGAGTAAACGAACCGAACCCCTTTCTACTGCTTCCTTTTCCATTTCCTCTTCCTATTCCTCACACACTGACTTGTCCATAAGGTTCACCGCCACCACAAACGCACGCCCTACGCCTCCAACGCCTTCCCCGTGGAGCCCTACCAGTGGAACTGCGACGACCAAGGACTCTTCTATTACGGCGAGCCCTTTGCCAGCAGCAACAAGCCGGCAAAGACCTACTGGAAGGTCTACATCTCCCCCGTCAATCCCTTCGTCCCCGCGGGCTGGATAGGAACCTGCCAGTTTCCCCAGATCACCGCCCAGGGTCTCGACGACTCCTGGGTTCACGGCGCCGACCTCTACGGCGTCTACCACGATCTCCTAGGCTTCATCCCCGGCCATGACACCGTCAACTCGCCCGAGTGGCATCGCAAGATCAAGTACCGCGTCACCAACAACCAAATCACCAGCCAGGTCGCCGGCATGGTCGTCAACGGCATGTGGGCCGCCGCCGACTCCCTCCAGCTCAACATCCAGGCCGCCGGCGTCGACTCCCTCGAACCGCAGTACCCCTGCCCCGCCGGCTACGCCCTCTTTAACCGCATAAAATCCGCCTCCAACGCCGCCTGGGCCCAGCACCTCGCCGCCGCCGGCCCCCTCTACGCCGTTCTCGACGACATCTCGGGCGTCCCCGCCGACGACGAGGGCTTCCACGCCTCGCTGGACCACTACTACGACAACCTCTCCGCCCGCCAGTGCCACGGCAAGCCCTTCCCCTGCAAGCTCGTCGGCGGCGCCAACTCCACTACCTGCGTCACGCAGGACCTTGCCGACGCCGCCTACCGCCTGGGCCACTGGGAGTACTCCCAGCTCTACCGCGACAGCCCCGACTCCCTCGCCGCCAGCGTCGCGGCGTGGGGCGTCTGGGTCGCCGAGCTCGCCGTCCACCTGCGCGCCGTCGTCGACGGCACGAGCGAGACAATCTACTTCCACAACGTCGCGCACGACGGCTCCGTCTCGCGGCTGCTGTCTATCCTGCAGCTCGACCACATGGTCTGGCCCGGCATGGGCTCCGAGGTCGTCTTTGAGCTGTACAAGAAGCGCGGGGCGGACGACGGCGGCGAAGGCGGCGCCGCCAAGAGCCCTCCCGCGGCCACATCCACATCCACGCCTGGCTCGGTTGAGAGTGGCTGGTACGTCAGAGTCCTCTGGGGCGGCCAGGTCCTCAAGTCGTCCCATCCGGCACTGGGCCTGATGGATATGGTACCCGTCGAGACGCTGCTGTCGTACTTTGATGGGTTGGTAGGAGAGAACGCCAGCCTGATCAAGGGCAAATGCGCGTCTTGAGCGTTCTGTGTGGTGCTCATATGGTTCGCCAGGAAGTGGCCATCCCCTTTTCAGCACGTAGAAACGCCCCAGTGTATACTTAGCTCGCCGCCGTACCTAATACATAATGATAGTCGACCTTGCCCCTCGTGGCGCCCCCGCTCGCTTTGGATCACACAAGGTTTGAACATAGTATTTTCTCTTGGAAAGGCTAGAGTAGACTACACTCCTTCTCGAGGTCCGTCCAACGCCCATTACGCATAGGGTCCAGCTGGCGTACTTTGGTCATCCACGTTTGTAATTCTTCCGTCTCTTCTTCGTTGAGCTCTCTTCCTTCAACACGCGGCAGCGCCCTCATGTAGTCCAGCAGCGCCTTGTATATCCACGTAATGTCATCGTAGTCTTCCAAAAGGTCCTTGATATCTTCAATCTCACGTCTCACGTAGGATGCCTTTTCCGTACTTGACAGACTCGGCGCGATCTTGGGCCGGCCATCTGGCTCGGTCATGTTCTGGACAAGGAAATGGTGATAGAACCAGAGAGACTGGTCTTCTGGGCCCACGTTTAGTGCTTCACGGACGAGATCGAGTTCTGCTCTTCGTTAGCCGACTTCTCACTCGTAAACTCCATGAGAGTATGTATGTGTATAGGGTCATCCTTACCGTCTTCCAGAAACTTTTGCCGCGCCGCGTCGTCGGCGCCGCGCTCCTCCAGCAGGCGGGGTATCAGGTTGGAGCGGTTATGCCACGCCGAGAAGTTGGACAGGTCCGTGTTGATCATCTTTGTCGTGTACGCGAACTCGGCCTCGACCAGGCTCGTGCCGTCGAGCGCCGCGCTTTCGAGGGTGGCGACGACTTTGCGCCGGTAGCCCCAGGCGTGGAAATTGCGGCGATCCTTGGTCAGCATCTTGGAGACCAGGCCGAGCTCCTCCTCCCATATGCGACGGGCGATGGGTTTGGGTAGTATATCGATAGCCTGCTGGAGGAGCCAGGAGCGGTATTTCCAGATCCAGTAGCTCTTTGGGAACTCCAGAAGGAGGGGGATCGTGAACATGAGCTCGTTCTTGAGGGTGTCGACCACCTTTTCGTCGTTGACCGGCGGCGGCGGCGGCAGCTGCTCATCAGCTGTTGTACCACTCTTCCCACTCCCTGGGACCGGTGGGGACGCGTGGCCTGGCGGGATCGCGGTCGAGGAAGAGGGCGACGCAGCGGCGGAGGACGGAGGCGGAGTGCATGCTGCTG